ATATATATATATATATATATATATATATATATATATACAGTGGCGTCCACAAAAAACAAGCATTACCCGCTCATGCAGCATACCAATTTAAATCTAATAATTTATCTAATAATTTCTGCATCATCTGAAATATTAATATTTTATCTATATTATGAAACGCCCGAGATAATATGGTCATTCAAAATTGACCTTAAAAAAATCAGGCTTGGCAAAATTGTGCAAAATCAGAAAAACGCAAAAGTCACTATTGGTTTCATGTAGAGCCCAAAAACTTTGCTGCACAAAGACTGTGGTTATTAGATTTTGGACATAATCATTTGTGACATTTAGGGATGAATTGACGGGTGATTATGTCCAAAATTAACGGAATCAATGCTCAAAGGGTTCGTGCACTACACACAATCAGTGGCTCCTAAGCAAAATGACAATGGCCACTTTTAATGTTAAGTCCAAGTTTTGCGTGGCATTTGTGATTGCTCTGTGTTCCGTTTTGTTTGAAACTATCATAATAAAATATCGTAATAAAATGCAGAGATAAAATTCTTCCTTCATTGGATGTGCATTGTATGTCCCTTCTAACAATATTGATGCACACGCGAAGATAATTTTATGTTTCTTTGATTTCGCCCAATTGTGCCAAGCCTGAGTTATTAAGGTCAATTATGATTGGCCATGTATTGCGTCTCTTAACATAGATGAATCATTTATGTCTGATGATGTAGAATTTATCTAGCTTTAAATTGGTATGCTGCATAAGTGGGTAGTGCCAGTCTTTTAACACGATGATTGGGTGATTACATTTTCAAGTTTATTTTGGACGCCACTGTATAATATATATAATTTTTTTTTTCATAAGCTCAAACACATACCAATACACAAATATACTAACACAAACATACACACACACGCACAAACACACACACACACACACACACACACACACACACACACACACACATACACACACACACACACACACACAAACACAAACACAAACACATACACACACATAAACACACAAGCACGCACGGGAACAAAACACCAATTAAAACCACACTTTGTCCCGATTCAAGGGGTCAAAAGATGACTGTGCCAAGTGCCAAACGATACTACGCATGTAATAAACTCAGCGATTAACAATTGAAGAGTCCAACAATAAAACATTGAACCTTCTTTGCCCGAGGCTATACTGCCATACTTATCATACAAATATCATTGTACAATTGTCGTCCGCATGGTCTATGACGGTTAAGATTCAGACACGCCGTTAGTGATCAGCAGTCGCCTGTATTCCATTAAGGTTTTCCTGTTTTGACGAACAAAAATACGAGGGGCATACCAACAGTTTTCTACCTGACCATGAAGGAATAAAGGTAGAAAGCTGATATTTGGGATTAAAGCCAACAATCATCTTCCTAGAATGCTTGTAAATTTTGGGGAATTTCAGATAACTGGTTTTACCACCAGCACACTGTAAGTGATTGTGGGTATGTTGTTCTCCAGTTTCAGAATAAAAATGGAAAATTGAGCGCTGTGCAGTTATGAAGTTTTTGTTCTTGCAAGGCAATCAACTACAAGATATATTTACGGAGATGCATGCCGTATATGGAACTGATTGCCCATCCTATGCTGTGATAAAATTTTGGTGTAAAAAAGTGATGATGAGGTCAAAGAAGCGTAAAGTGCTTGTTTTCTGACATAGAGAGGGTCCTCTATTCTCAAGGTCTTTTCAAGTTCATATACAGATGGCAAACACGTATAACTCTATGAGGCGACTACATAAAGAAAGACTAAGCGTAGTACCAAATTTCAGCTTTCTGACTTCATTCGTTCATTGTCAGGTAAAAAACTGTTGGTATGCCCCTCGTATGTTGCATGGTGGTGAAACCAGTCACTCGTCAAAATAAGGAAGTAGAAGAATTCAAAGTTTTTCCCGTCTGGTATGCAAGTTTTATCTATCTTAATTTAATTATTTGTCTAGTTTTGGTTTTAGCTCAACTCCTTTTAGCCCGTTTAAAAACAGTTTACTATGTGAATTTTACAGACAAAAAAAAAAAAAAAAGAAGAGAATTTGGGTTTTCCATAAAGATATTTAAGCTTTGGAAACCACCAAACTTTGGCGGCCATTTGCTCGCTAATTTTACCTCTGACACCAAGTGCCCCGCGCCTCCCTCACTCGCAAACATCTCGGCTTCTATTCAAGATAGATTGGTATATTTATTTAAAAAACAAAACAAATGAATCACTCCATATGCTCAAAACTTGACGAGCGGCTGATTTTCCCGTGTTTGCTTTTGTTTTGTTTTGGTAAGTGTTTTACGGCGCTCGCAAGTGCATTAGTTCATTGAGCACGCGGGACATATTAAACATTTTCAGTTTTGTAGGAATGTTTCAATTTTGTCCAGGTAGCGGCCGAAGCCGACTCTTATCGATTTTAGGACGACCAAAGGATCTTTAACATGCGCAATTTGCACACGGGATCTCAGAGATTTTTCACTCTTAACCGAGAAGGTTAGTTGTTAGATCTTACCTGCCCTAAGAGCACGGGTGTGGCTAAAAGAAAGCAGTAATAAGGAGCCAAGGAGTAGTTAGTACTAGAAAGGCTGCAGAAAGAGTCAAGAGCCCAGAGGATGGGGCAAAAGGGGGGTGGGGTGAAAGTCGAAAAGTGGAGACAAAAGCAGACGACAAAACACGGTTAGAGAGCAGGAAAGGAGGGAAAAGGAGACAATTTGAGAGAAGAAAATTCTCTGTTTGAATTCGAATAGGGAACCTGTTAAATGAGAGGCGATCGCCGACCGTAAACTCTCGATCACGGCCGAAAGCGCCCCCACCCCCACCCCATTTCACTGTTTCAGGAAACATACAAACACACATACCTATACAAATCATATTATATATAATATATATAAAATTTAATATAATATAATAGTAATATACATATATAATACATGTATATATTTATTTATTTATATACATATATATATATATATATATATATATATATATATATATACAGTGGCGTC